CACTATCTTAAGGTGAAAGGATGGAAAAAATATACCAAGCAAATGGTACTAAGCAAAAAGTGAGCACTGCAATTCTAATGTCTGATAAAATAGATTTTAAACTAAAACCAATCAGAAGAGATAAAGAGCACCACTTCATTCTGAACAAAGGAGCAATAAACCAAGAAGATATTACAATCATGAACATATAGTCACAAAACTCTGGTGCACCCAACTTCATAAAAACAGTACTTCAGGACATTAAGACCCAGATTAATCCCAAGTCAATAGTGGGGACTTCAATACCCTACTGTCACCATTAGATAGGTCAACAGGACAGAGAATTAACAGAAAGACACTTGAATTAACAAATACCATATATGAAATGGATGTAACAGACAACTACAAAATATTCCACCCAAGCACCAAAGAATATAGCTTCTATTCAGTGCCCCATGGAACCTTCTCTAAAATCAACCATATACTGGGGCACAATAATTCCATGCATTCTATAAGACCACAATGCACTAAAGCTTAAAATCAACACCAGAAGAAATCCTAATAACCACATGAACACATGGAGATTTAACAAGACAGTCCTGAATGATGAATGGGTCAAAGGAGAAATTAGGAAAGAAATAAAAGTATTCCTGAATGTAAATGAAAAGGACAGTACAACAGAACAGAACCTCTGGGATACATTGAAAGTAGTCCTTAGAGGGAAGTTTATAGCTCTAAGTGCCTATATTAAAAAATTGGAAAGAACACAAATAAATGACTTAACATTTCACCTCAAGACACTTGAAAAACAGCAACAAATGAAATCCAAACCCAGCAGACAAGAAGAAATAATAAAAAATCGAATCAATGAATCCAACAGCTGGTTCTTTGAAAAGATAAACAAGATTTACAGACCGCTAGCCCAGTTAACCAAAAGAAAGAAAGAGCACCTTCATTTCAACAAAATTAGAGATGAAAGGGGAAACATCACAACAGACACCAAAAAGATCCAGAATACTATAAGGGTATACTTTAAAATCCTATTTGCTACTAAATTTGAAAACCTAAAAGAAATGTAAGGGTATCTAAAAGCATAGGAAACACCAAAAGTAAATCAAAAAGAGATTAACCGCTTAAACAGAACCATAACACAAAAGGACATTGAAACAGTAATAAAAAACCTCCCAATTAAAAAAAGTCCTAGACCAGATGTGTTTACAGCTGAATTCCACCAGACATTTAAAGAAGATTTACATCCAATATTGCTCAACTTATTTAAAATGATAGAAAGGGAGGGAGAACTTCCAAATTCCTTCTATGAAGCCACTGTCACTCTAATACCAAAGCCAGGTAAAGATACATCCAAAAAAGAAAACTATAGACCATATCATTAATGAACATAGATGCAAAAATTCTCAACAAAACACTTACAAACCACATACAGACACACATCAAAAAGATCATCCACCATGATCAAGTGGGCTTTATTCCAGAGGTGCAGAGATGGTTCAATATACATAAGTCAATAAATGTCATAAATCTTATAAATGGGCTCAAAGAAAATAACCACATGGTCATCTTAAAAGATGTAGAGAAGGCCTTTGACAAAATTCAACATGCATTTATGTTCAAAGTCCTAGAGGAAATTGGACTGGTGGGTACATACCTCAACATACTTAAAGCCATATATAACAAGCACAGCTAACATCATTCTAAATGGAGAAAAACCAGAATCATTCCCACTGGAATCATGAACCAGACAAGGCTGTCCACTATCCCCACTCCTTTTCAATATAGCGCTTTGTCACGATGCAGTGACCACATACCAAGCCTGGTGGGCTTGGGGACCCCGACAGATAGAAATCAGGACACAGGGAATGCAGAGGTCCATGTGCCAGTGCATGTTTATTGTGAACAAAATTCCACGTGCAAACTCCTAGAAATTATTAACACATTCAGTAAAGTGGCAAGTTACAAAATTAACCTACAAAATTCTATAGCCTTTCTATATGCCAATAACAAGCAATCAGAGAAGGAGTACATAGAAACATTCCTTTTCACAATAGCTACAAAAAATGATAAATATAAATAAATAAATAAATAAATAAATAAATATATCAGAATAAACCTGACCAAAGACTTTAAAGACCTCCACAGTGAAAGTTTTAAATCTTTAAAGAGAGAGATTGAGGAAGACATCAGAAGATTGAAGGACATCCCATGTTCATAGATTAGAAGAATTAATATTTTGAAAATGACCATCCTACCAAAACCATTTATAGATTCAATACAATGTCAATCAAATCCCCATGACATTCCTCACAGAATTTGAAAAAACATCCTAAGATTCATATGGAAGCACGAAAGACCTCAGATAGCCAAAGCTAACCTGAGCACTAATAGTATTGCTGGGGGAATTACTATACCAGATATTAAACTACATTATAAAGCTATAGTCCTAAAAACAGCATGATACTGGCACAAAAATAGACCCATAGATCAATGAATCAAAACTGAAGACCTAAATATGAGTACACACAATTTCAGACACCTGATTTTTGACAAAGGGGCCAAGAACATTGCCTGGAGGAAAGATAGCATGGTCAGCAAATGGTGCTGGTAAAACTGGATCTCCACCTGTAGAAGAATGAAACTAAACCCCCATCTTTCTCCTTGCAAAAAAGTCAACTCCAAATGGTGCAAAGACCTCAATGTGAAGCCTGAAACTCTGAAACTGTTAGAAGAAAAATTTGCAATAACCTACAAGATATAGGTGTAGGAAAGGACTTTCTAAACTGGACATCAACTGCCCAGGAAACAAGGTCAAGAATCAATAAACGGGACCTCATGAAACTAAAAAGCTTCTGTACATCAAAAGAAGCAACCAAGGAAGTGAAGAGAAAACCCACAGAATGGGAGAAAATCTTCACCAGTGACAGTGACATGTTTGACAGAGGTTTAACATCCAGACTATATAACAAACTCAAAAAAAAAAACAAGAAACAAAATGACACAATTAAAAACTGGGTTAAAGAGCTAAACAGGGAGTTCTCTAATGAATAGAGATGGCTCAGAAACATCTCAAAAAGTGTTCAACATCATTAATAATTAGGGAAATGCAAATTAAAACCACCCTAAGGTATCACCTTATGCCAATCAGACTGGCTAGGATTAAGAGAACAAATGGTATTAAATACTGGCGAGGATGTGGAGAAAGGGGAACGCTTATCCACTGCTGATGGGACTGAATACTTGTGTAACCTCTATGGAAAACAGCGTGGAGAACTCTTAAAAAACTACAAATGAACCTACCATTTGACCTGGTTATACCACTACTTGGCATATACTCAAAGAACTCATCCTACTGCAGAGACACTTGTACAACAATGTTTGTTGCTGTTCTTTTCACAATAGCTAAGAGATGGAAGCAATCTAAGTATCCCTCAACTGACGATTGGATAATGAAAATGTGGTTCATTTATACAATGGAGTCTTACTCAGCCGTAGAGAAAGGTGAAATCATGAAATTTGAAGGTAAATGAATGGAACTAGAAACTTATATTAAGTAACACAGACTCAGGAAAGAAAAAAACAACAACATATGTTTTCCCTCATATATGGATCCTAGCACCAAATGCTGATAAGTGATTATATATTAAGACATAACTACACAAACCAGCATAATGAAAAGGAACCAGGGATGTAAAGAAAAATAAAGAATCTGAAAGAGAAGAACAGTAGGAAACAGGTGTTAATAAGGGAGATTTGGATAAAAATAGGGTTATTTTAAGGGGAGGCTGGAGGGAAGATTATACAAGGAACCTAGGGTATAAAGGGAAAGAAGGAGCTCAAGAGAGGTGGGACCATAGGAGAAGGGTATTATTAAGGGAAAAATGGGGTCACCTTAAGTGGGGAAACCACGGTGGAAGGTTAAACAATGTGAGAGATAAGTAATGCCTAGCTAGTATTAAAAAAACAGAGGGAACCATATTACTCCAACAACCTACTGACAAATTATACATTCAACCAGATCAAAGAATATATGTCTAGGCAAGGTTTATCTGAGAGGGTTTGGTCTTTTCCCAAGCTTTATCTACATGGTACACGGTAATTTAAAGTATCAGACTGGTGGAACTAACCTTCTTGGATGTTTAACAACCATACTATGCAGCTTATGCTAATTTGGTCAGAGGGACATAAAGGCCAGCTTTTGCTCCTTGCCCTCCTAGGTCAACTAAGTTCCAGGGGACTATGAGCATCTTTTAAATGTCCTGTAACTGTGGTAAGTCACCTGTCCTCTTGATCAAGGAGGCTGTGAAGACCCCACCAGGTGGACTTGAACCAGTGTCCAGTCTACCAACTGAAGAGTCAACACAGAGGAAACATTTCCTTCATGCTTCCAAGTGAAGCCAGCCATGGTGAAGCAGGACCTTTGATTTATCTTCACATAGATGGAACTGGTAAAAGAATGGAGCCAGGGGCTCTTCCCAAGCCCATGTTACCTCTGAGGAACAGATCCTCAAACGACCTTAAGAGTAAAAATAAATTGGCTTATATGGGCCAATTGTAGAGTCTTAAACACCCTAAAGGAAAGCATAATCAAAGATTAATGAGGTCAGTATATTTTTAAGAGTCCATATGTATAGCTAAAGATTACATAACAAGAAACAATGCCAGACAGGAGATGCCTTCCTTTGAGTTATTGGCCAGGGTGGCCCAAAAGACTTCTAGACAGTAACCCAGCAGTGAACTGGGAAAATGAACAGCAGACACAAATCTTATCTAAAAAGAATGTTGACAACTGATTGCTGATAGATGAGGAACAGCTGATTTTCCTAAAACAAGGATCTCTAGACAGGCTGACTAGATTCAGCAGATGGATAAGCACTGGGGAATGGCTGGGGCACTGACAACACAGTGGACAGTGACATGACAAAGTTTATGGGCTTCAGTAGGGGGGAGGCTATGGGAGGGTGGCATTTGGGAAGCACGTATGTAGATGAATAAGATTGTATGGGATGGTGCTCGCTTCAGCAGCACATATACTAAAATTGAAATGATACAGAGATTAGCATGGTCCCTGCACAAGGATGACACTTAAATTCTTGCAGTGTTGCATATTTTTCCTTTTTATGTGTGCATGATTATCTGACAGTTCTCTCCCAACCCCACTGGCCTTTCCTTACTCCTTGTATTTGTATGGTACAAGCAATAAAGACACTCATTTCAGAAAAAAAAAAAAAAAAGATTTGGATGTTCTGTATGATATACCCACAAATAAAAATCAACAAAGTGAAAAGACATATTTGAGGAGGAAGCAAAAAATTTACTTCATGTTAATTTGTAGAGGTGATAAAGATTACCAGTGAAATATACCTGATGACTTTATATCCATACTCAGGTGGCAAGGATCTGGGTGTAACCACCTGTGACTAGTAATAATCAGATACATAGAGATTAAAGACATGTGCAAACATCTAAGTGTTTAATGCTACTAACAAGCATTAAAAAGGTAGGAAACATTATGTTTTAAAATGAAATGGAGACTTTAAAAGTTAAAAACTCATTCAATTTCATGTCTTAGAGGGTTTATACTAAGTTCAATATTGCATAATGATATTAATTAAACTGTGAACCTAAAAATTTACAGCCACTTTTTTTTCTTGGTCTTTTTGAGACAGGGTCTCCCTGTAGCCCCAGCTGTCCTGGAACTCACTATGTAGACCAGACTGGCCTTGGACTCACAGAGATCTGCCTGCCTCTGCTTCCAAAGTGTTGGGACTAAAGGCATGTGCCACCATGCCTGGCTATAGCCACTTTTGAAAGAGATGTATCCTTGATCTGGAAATTTTTACTGAATATGTTAGAGCTCTAATGAAATGCTTCTTCTAATCATGGGGTTATTAAATAAAAATAAATAAAATATTTTTAAACAATTTGAAAAAAAGTAATAAAAAATAAAAAAAAAGTAATTAATACATTTAAAATGGAGAATATTGCCAGGAATTACAATTAATTCATGCTTAAATTTAAACTGAAGTGATTTAAAATTTAATAACATTTTAAAATTTCACAGATAGATTTAACAGAAGGTTTATTTCCTCAGAGGATTTGTGAACCGGAAATACGATTAATAGAAAGTATCACAGCAAAGAGAAAGTAACGGGACTATATAGGACATATGGAAAACAATTTGTGTATTTAATAGGCCTGTAATTGCAATTATAGAGAAGTAGTAGAGAATTGGAGAAGCAAATAACTTATATAAAATGACTGAGAATATCTTAAGATTACTGAATGATATCAACTTAGATGTACAGAAGCCCTTATACATTTCAGCCATTATTAGTAAGAAGGAACTCATGAACATAGAGATGAGTCTGCAGTGGTCTTGTATTCAATGTAAGTTTGGTTCCTAGCACATGGTTGAGTAGCTCACAATTGCCTTTAACTCCATCCCCAGGCAATCTGACACCTCTGGCCTCTGGGTCCAACTATACTTACCTGTACATACCCACACTCATATGTACACACATACACATAGTTGAAAATCATAAAGTGTTTAAAAATAAGAAATAACTCATAGGTACATAAAACAATTTTACTTAATATTTACTTAATATTTACTATACTTACCTGTACATACCCACACTCATATGTACACACATACACATAGTTGAAAATCATAAAGTGTTTAAAAATAAGAAATAACTCATAGGTACATAAAACAATTTTACTTAATATTTAGGATATAATAACAATGGGCTGGCAATGTGGCTCAGTAGATAAGGGCAATTGACTGATGCCAATCCTGATGATCTTAGTTTAATTCTCAGAACCCAAGTTGTGAAAGGAGAGAACTGATTTCTGCAAGTAGTCCCCTGATCTCCACTTGCAAGCTATGGCTTTAGAAACTCCCTCATATAGAGACAGTCAAAAGCTAAAATATGTTTTAAAAAATGATGAAGCAAAGTTGCAAGTGGAAGTTAGAAAGGATATTTCCATAAAAGCCAATACTTAAAAAAGCAACTTTCTGGGCTGAAAAAATGACTCGGTGGTTAAGAGAACAGACTGCTTATTTAGAAGACCTACATTCAATTCCCAGCACACACAGGCAACTGACAACTGTATGTAACACTAGTTCCAGAGGACCCAATGCCTTCTTATGACCTCTATGGGCATTGCAATGACATGGGTACACTTACACAGATGCAGGAAATATACTCATAAAACTTTAAAATAATAAACAAAAAATGAGGTAATTTTCTAAATGATACAATGGAGTAATAAAATTGTACTTTGTGGAAGGAGCATAAAGAACTCACAGCAGTTGTAATAGCATGCAGAAGACAGCAAGCTCAAGACAAACATTATCCCAGCACCGATGGAGGATGTGGCAGGAAGCTCCAACTCCAGCTAAGGAGCTACTGAGAGAGGAGAAGTCAGCTCTCTTTTAGGGTGTGACCCTGAATTTTTTGACCACCCTCCAGGGAATTGTCCCATATCCAATAATAATTGGGCATCACAAATTGGACTCCATGGGCATTAAATAAAGAACACGAAGTTGGGTTTGTAGGGTGGTAGGATAGATCTGGAAAGATTAGGAGAATGTTTAAATATCAAAAGTCAATTTATTAGATTGACTTACATGATGTAGTCTGGGTAGTCCAAATTGGGTGCCACAAAGCAGCAAGGCCAAGAGCTCAGTAGTTTCTCCACCCAAAAGTTTGGTTGCTTCAAAAGTCCCAATCTGGCACTGAAGGCCTAGAGGAATTCTAGAAAGCCACTAACGTCTACGCACATTGAAAACCTTAAGACGTTGGATTCTGATATCAGAGAAGGAATGAAACCACAGTGGAGGCCGCAGAGGAACAGAAGAATTTGCAGCAAGTGTGAAAGCAGAGAGCCAGAAGCCCAGATTCCTTCTTCCATCTCTTTTTATTTGGACTGCTACCAGAAGTGCCACACACATTTCAGGATGGCGGGAAGCGGACTTCCCATTTCAAGAAAATATCTCACAGGATAACACAGTGGCTAGCCTTTTAATTCGTTCCAGAGCTAGTCAAATTGAAAAACAAGATAAACCATCTATTAATAACAACGAGAGAAGCCTTGCTCTATTTAATGTACTTACAATCTCCCCGAAATTTCTTCAGGACAATGACTTCTCTTTATCTCAGTCTCACGCAAAGGATCCATTACTATCATCAACAATGACTTGATACCTTAGAGGCTCAAATCTTAAATTATTGGACCTCCTCTTCAAAACTTAAGTTTTTATTATTTTTGTTATCCATCCTTTAGACTGCTAGATGCTTTTTGGAATAACTATGATGTATGGTAGCTGGGTATGGGCAGAAGTATCCTCGTGTTCCTCTGTTCAGTATGTGGGGGTGTTACAAGACTCTCCACACTCCTACCCCAGGCTCATCAGCACTCATCCTTGATGCCAATTTTCCCTGCACAATGTCTACATTGCAGATAAGGCAAATGTGGCAGAGTTATAGTAACTGAAGGGGACAAAGGTCAACATCACTAGGGTCTAGAGTATAATCAGTTGAACATGAGACACCAGGTATCAGGGCAGAAATAGGACAACCTGAACCATGACTCCACATTCATTATTGTCTTCTCTGATTCTTATGAGAAGGACAATTTCAAAGATACGTTATTAAAAACTTCATCATAGCAAGTAGAGAAAATTAAACTTCTAGGTGAAATTTGACATAACAGCACTGCTTACATATTCAGCCCTATACAGTGACAAAGAAGAAGAAATATTTTATTATCATTTAGTAATAAATGTATCCTGTCATTTGTCTTAAGACCTATTGTGTCAAGTTAGTATCCCCAGAGGTCCCTTAGTGTAAGTTCATCTACTGAGGTCTAGTCAGCCTACCTAGAGTCTCTCACTTTAGGAAAATCAGTTCTTCCTCATCCAGCAGTAATTAATTGCCAATACTTAAAAAAAAATAATTATTTTGGTTATACCTAAGTTATAAATGAAGGACATCATAGTAGAAAGAAAAAAAAAAAAGAAATGCAAAGCTTATGCTTTGGATATCCATGGAACATGATGAGGAGATGAAGTCTGTATTAGTCAGGGTTCTCCAAAGAAACAGAACCGGTAGAATGAATATATATGTATAGAGACTTATCAGCTTAGCTCACAGGTTAGAGTCCAAGTAGTCCAACAATGGCTGCACCACACTGGAGAGGCTGAGATCTGCAGTCGCTCAGTCCACGAGGCTGGCTGTCTCAGAAGTCCCAAACTGGTGCTGAAGGTCTGACAAATTCCAAAAGATCAGCTAGTCTTCAGTCTACAGCAGCAAGACAAACTACTCACCAGTGAGAGAGAAGGCAAGGAGCAAGAAGCCTGGTATTCTCCTCTGCCATGGCCTTTTATATGGGCTGCCATCAGAAAGTAACACCCACATTTAGGGGGTGTCTTCCAGCTTCAGATGATCCAATCAAGAAGATCTCTCTCATTTCAGTTGGTCCCAGATCCAGTCAAGTTGACACCCAGGATTAGGCATCACAAGTCCATCCCTTGTCAACTTAACACCCGATAGCATCTCTCTATGTCATGCTTAATTTTCAAATGAAAACAATATTGATTGAGGTCATAATTTCACCTAACATGATATAACTATCCCATCTACAACAAAAAATGCATTATATATCTTAGAGTAGGTGATGAGGTCTTTGAGGAATGCTTAGTCCTTTAGTGTCTCATAACCCAATACAATTATATAGGTTCACAACATTTACCCACTTAACAACTATCTCAATTACACATTCAAAATAAGAATACCTCAAGTATCTGCTTAACATATGTGTATACATGCACAAGCCTATTCTTAACCAAATAGGAAAAGAAAACTCATGGCAATTACAATCCATGTTTCTGCAACTGGTCATATGGCTTGCAACTGGTCACATGGTATTTGTAATGGCCTTCCTCTATTACCTATTCTGTATTTCCTCCACCATCAGCAAGCACCTCAGCAGGTCTTGGCTCTTTCCTTGGAGGAGTGACCCATACTTTCATCCCTGAAGGGTCTGGGCCATTTGTTGTCCTCTCTGGATTGGGTTGTTGTAGTTTCCCATTGCCCTTAATCACAG